TTATACAAGTTCAGAAATATAAATAATTTTATCTTTCCCTTCCCATATTCCTTATATTTCAAGTCCGGGTTTGGCGTTCTACAAAAAATAGTAGTCTGACCTAAAAAAAAAACAAAAATAAAATTACAATAATATTAAAAAACCAATTCCCTTCCCATTCCTTACATTATCCAAGTCCAGATTCATTTCCAAGAGTCTGGCGTCTTAATCCTACAATAAAAACAAAGAAAGAAACGTTAGTACATTTCTTTAATATATATTTAAAAATCAATTCTCCCTCCCCTATTCCTTACATTTTTAAGTCTGGATTCGTTTTTAAGAGTTCGGCGTCCTAGCCTTACAAAAAAATAAAGAAAGAAACGTTAGTACATTTCTTAATATTAAAAAAAATTCTTTTTTCTTTTTCTTTACACATATCCAAGTCCAGTTTCTCTTTCTTCTGATATCTTAGAGCTGACAGGTACCTTTGATACTGCATTATTTATTTTGCAAACAGGCTTACATTGCTCAAACTGAGAGTCAGGTATATTGGTAGGTGATACTTCTGGTGTTGGTTCTTCGGGTAAAGAAGTATCCATTTCTTTATCCACCAATGGCTTTTCATAATGTGCTACCATAGGTAACTGCTTTGTAACTGAATTATCGTTTTGCAACTGATTCTGTTCCACTTTCGTGATTCTATCTCCAAACTCAGATTCCATCTCCTTGATTCTAACCCTGAGTTTTGCATTTTCAGCATCATACCTCTCATTATATTTCTTATTCGCTTTTAGAAACTCAGTATTCTTGCGTTTAAATTCAGCTATTTCAGCATCAGACTTCAGACACTAAGAGCTTGATTCTAAAACCGGAATTCTCAGCCTCAAGTTCAGTGATACGCTATTTCAATAATTCAAGTTCTGATGACATGATTTATAATATATAAAACTAATATACTGTATATAAGTATTCAAAATAAAAAAAACGTGTTTTTTGGCCAGGGTGCTTTAGCTGAAATTTTGCCAAGAATAAATTTTTATTAATATATGCAAAAAATAAATACAAATGTTCAGAACATTGCCTGTGGTATATGATAAAATTTCTATTCCTAAATTCTAATTCGTTTTCCCCTTAAGATTGGTTACCTTTGGTAACTCGCCTGACTTTACTCTTTTTATTTTTCTCGATTCTTCTAAAGCTTTCACCAGTTTCTGCACTTTTTCAAGTAACTATAAAATGTGACCAAGAAAGTTTTCCACCATGCCTTTCATATCCTCACCATCATATATAACAAATAAGGGCTTCGACAACTTAAATGATATATGATTCTTTTACTGTCTTACGTATATTTCATGAAGTACCATTTCTCTACATCTATTACAATCTCCCATACTTTATCCAAACTATATTCATTATCTATTTCTTTTGCTTTGCGCTTATGGCCTAGTGAAGATTCCATCTGTATGGTGGCTTGAGCCAAGCCCTGCTTAAAATCATTTTTTTGATTTCGATCAGGCCAACTGTTCTCCCAGTTGTACATGATTCAATTCCAAAATCAAGATTCCCATGTTTGTTTTTTCCTTCGACCAACTTTTTGGGTACTATTTTTATTTGGCTTTTAAATGGAAAAGTTGCTGAAGTGAGAAAGGAATATGAATAGATACTTTTTGTGACCTTGTAAGATACGTCAATAAATGTTATTGTGACATGAGTCTCCAATTTATCAAAAAGCTTTTGTAATACCTCTCCATACTTTTCATTCTTTGTGTCCACACAACTAAATTTAAAAACGGGATAAACATCAATACTAGGATTTGGATTATCACTAAGCCCATAGAGTTGACACACTTTTGGGAAGGTCCACTTGTTGAATGGTTTCAAGGGAGTCTCAATGAATACAGTAAACTTGAGATTATTCTTTGATACTAGCAACTGCAACATTTTCTGGAATGTGACATCATTCCTAGGGTAATATTTCCTCTCATTATTCATGAAGTTGAGCACTGCCCCATCATTTTCAAATACTGGTAGTTTATACAATTCACGTATATAATCTTTGAAATCACTGAGAGTTCCTTGCTCAATATTTACAGTCCACTTATTTGCCTTCTGTTTTAGTTTGCTGACAATAATGTCGAACTCTGTAATGTATCAGACGAGTTAATAAAGTTCAAACAGCCTCATGACCTGAAGATTTTAGCAACCTCAGGTAAGGAAAAAATATGTACCATATTCAGACTTGCTAAGTTTCTCCTTCAATGAGGCGATCTCCTCAAGCAGTTCCTGCTCACGGCTTGAAGTGGCGGTAGACTCTATCTGGCAAAGAGACTAAGACATGAATATGTTTTTTAGGCAGTTTCTCAGTTCAGTAGTCTTTAATTTCATTTATTGCTAATAGCTCATCGCTATCCTCAAAGTGAGGGATTGCTTAAGAAATTGGCATGATCGTCAAAGATTGAAGCCTGAGCTTGCCACTAGTCGAAATAAGGCAAATCGGCTAAAAATCGGATATCCGATTTTAGGTCAAATTACGGCTGAAATATGTCCGATTTTTACAAAAAAAATATATTCCGATTGTTATCCNTATTGTATCTTCGAACTTAAATAATGCATCCCAAAATTTCTTGAATACCATTGGTTCATTTCCTATCGGATGACATAATTCACAATTTAAACATTCATCTAATTCTCCCGTTCTTAACTCATGTTCTACTTTATGTATCATATATTCACTTTCCCATTGATGATACCATTCCATCATATACTAAAAATAAATTATTAAAAATATTCATCCAGAATTCAAATTGAAATTCCACTCTCTTATATATCATTTTTATCGCTTCTATTTTGACCTTCTAACCATCCTTTACTATATTGTCCTTTCCTATTACCTATATTGAATGTATAATCTTTCTTTCATTATGAATATTCATTTAACAACTTATTATTTTTTTTCTAAATCTTTTACTTATTCATAATATTCTTATATTAATCTTTCAATCTTTAAATCCTCTTTTTTGATTTTCACAAGTTTCTTCTGCTATTCTTATCTTTCATAATTTCATGTATATATTTTACTGCGCCATTAATTCAAAAATTATTCTAAGTCCACAATCTCCTCAGACTGCGGAGGTTTTTATTGCGCATTCTAAAAATTCCAAAAATTTTCTAAGTTTTTACTGCGCCTCAAAATTTTCTTTTATCATCAAAATTTGTAATTTTCGCATTTCACGAACTTCAAAATTCTCATAACTTCTAAAGTTTGTGAATTTTTTAGTTCTTTTTCATTATATATGTAATCTTTACATCTATATATTCAATATTACGCAAAATATCTTCTTTGTTTAATCTTGTACTAATTCTTATTATCACCATTATGTCGACACACAACATATTATACTTTATGCGACACACGCATTTACACTTATGCGACACGCGCATTTACACTTATGCGACACACGCATTTACACTTATGCGACACACGCATTTATACTTATTTAACGGTGTTTCTTCTTATTTATTATCTTTTACAATTTAATAACCTATACTCGGCTTGCCTTTACCTTCACAATGAAGTATAGTAGTTTCGAGGTTTGCTATTCACATTTTATCATTTGACCAGCAAATATTCCTAAATTTCGCATTATTCCATAATATTCATCTTCTTTTCGTGAGTTCAGTTGCGCATTTTCCTAAATGCTTTCAGTTTTATCTGAAGTAGTTATACCCACGATGGTTTCTCTTTTTGCCTTGTGAATTCAATTACGCATTCTCGAAATGCTTTCAGTAGGGAGATGTTCCACTCGCGTCTGAGTCCAATTATTTCAATTCCCATCTGAAGAAGTTATATTCACAGCCGGTGTTTTTGTAATAGGTTCCCACGTAACCCTTGTGTTTTAAATAGGTTCCCACGCAACCCTTGTGTTTTGGTAACAGGTTCCCACGTAACCCTTGAGTTTATAGCTTACCCGTCAACTTTTCGTTACAACATTGTATCCCCAGGAACTTCTGGCATCTGCAAAATACAATGGTGCCCTCCCAGAATACCACATCTTACGAGAGCTTCCTTGATTTCTCGGTTTTACAATTATTAGCGCGAAAACTTCAAAGACGACAACTTTTGTGACTTACTACAATACTTTCCGGATTTTCCTGTAATAAATCTATTATTTTGAAACGAGTTCATTATTTTCCATCATATCACCGCATCCTTCTTTTTATAATTCCTAAGGTAGGTGTATAATATCGCTATTTCGCCCGTTCCCATTTTAAGTTTTCAGGTACTTACAACCTTTTTCCACAATATTATATTTTAATTCTAATACCTCTTTTCTGAGTTCAGATTCTTCGGAATACCACGTCGGTACCATGATCGGAACGATCCTTCCCTTCGCGAGTGATCAATTCACTTAGTTGTTGACCGTTTCCTTCTTAATACCGCATAGGTACTTGACTATATGAAGATAGCCAAAATGTCGACGCAAAGTCGACATTTCCTTTCTCGGAGCATGCACCAAATTGTCACCCCCGTCTGCCACCCGGCGGTAAACAAGCTTCCCTGCTTTAACGTATATGCGTTCTCCACGAAACATTAACATTCTTGCTTGGTTTAGTTTTATTACTACTTAACTTTCAAATTGCGATAGCTCTCGCCACGATATTTCATCCATTATCTTCTTACAAAATACGATAGTTCTCTTTACAAAAGTTTATATTTTATTCATTTCATAATTCTTGTTATGACATTAAATTCACCATGAATTTGTCCAATTAAAATTAATTAAGCGAACATTACAGTA